TAATGATTATCTCAGAAACAAAAAGTGGCAGGGCAATGAAATTTTACATGATCACTGGCTATATGTAGTAGTTCAAAACGCACCTACTCAATGATTTTTCCCAGACAAAAAAAAATCCGGTGTGGCTGAGTTGACATGGAATGCCCCATTTGTGAAATATAGTTAAACTTTGAACAATATAAGAAGATAATCCCTTTTTACTATTGTCAAAATTTAATATCATTGCCTATCCCTGCGGCTCTGCATTCCTCAGGTCTATCGTCTACTTAAGGGGGTCTGCTTTTCCGAGCGGTGAAAATCCCCACTTTTCCACAATTTTTATTTCACACAAAAATCAAAGCTACAAATATGATTTTTTTCAAAATATTTTTTATTCTTTCTACTCGTGAAATAACAAAACTTTTCATTTTCCCGGACTATCTGGAATTAATGATTGGATGATGAAGTTGACGGGCCCCAACTCTGATTTAATGATTGTACCGGGGCTGATGAGGTTCCAACACATCTGAAATAAGAAAATTCTATATTTTAGTACTCAACGAACATCTGACACTGTCCCTTAGTGAAATAAATAGGATGAATGAAAAAATTGATGAAATATTTTGCCTTTCCGGATAAGACCGAATTTTCTCGAGCAAATTCGACACGAAAATTTGATATAAAATTAAAAATACTCAAGCTATTATTTTGAGGTTTCTAAGAGCAAGACATCTATAGAGGTCAAATAGGTGGTAAAAATTTCAAATTGATTGGTGAATAACTTTTTGAAATATCCATCCAACAATTCTGGGAAATTCTTGGAAATTTAGTTCCGAGAAAATCGCCTTTGAACTTCCGGGTGAGGCGGGTCAGGGACTCCCGTGACAGGAAGAAAAAGACGTTCAACGTCTAGCACTCCATTCATGGAGATATTATGATACAAAAAAAAATCAAATACTTACACTTAATCAGCAATTCCTGCGCCATATAATGCCCTTTCTTCTTTTTAGAAAAAATTCTGTTCTGCCCATTTTTCGGCATTTTTGGCAACTCGTGCAATTCTTGCTGCGTCAGAGACACGCCTCTCCAAGCGATCGACTCTCTGTTTGTCCCTTCGAACTACGTATCCATCACAACGGGGACCCATTAGAATACCGCTTTGCTCTATCATTTGAATTGACCTAAATCCGTCATTGAAGATACAAACAGCCAGGTATGTTGCTATTTCCACAATTTTCGTCCCTGAATGCTGATGCTTAGGCGGGAATGTCCAGATCAAAGAATTCAAACTTTCATTACTATTCTGCGTGTATGCCCCTAAACACCTTACCAACTCATCTTTGGATAAATCTTCATATGTGGGTTTTATTGCAGCCAATACTGTATCGGGAAGAGCTGCTTTATGACGGAATTGAACTCCATGTTTTTCTTCAGATCTTTTGAATATATCAACCATAGCGTCAACTTCCATTTTTCCAGAACTTCCATTATGATTATGCGTGCAAACTTCTTCATGTTCCTCCATTCAATCATCATATTCTCTTTGAGTTATTTCCTTTTCCGCCAGTTTTTCAACTTCATTTTGCATCCTTGACAGAAGCTCGACTTTATTTCGACATCAACGACTTTTCCTGTCAATTGGCCAATCAGACTTGAAACGCCAAACAATGATTGGAAGCCTCTCTTTTTCCACGTTCCATCGCCTGATACCGTCAAATGATTATCTCCGTTATTCAATTCTTGTTCTTCTTCAACCGCCGCACGTGTGACATATTTGTGTATCCCCTCCGATGCTTCATGAATAATTTTCAAACACGAGTAATATAAAGTATTACTGACACTCACTCCTAAGTCGCCATAAGTCCAACGAAAAGATTTAAACCTTCCAAACCCACACCAAGAAGTCGAGACACAAAAATTATGCGACGGTTTATTTCATATGCTTTGTCTATCATAGGGCTGGAAGGTACGTCTTTTTTGCCACATCGACATTGCAAAACAATACGAAATCCCAAACCACGAGTTGAACCTTTCGAAAAGTTCATGTCACCCTTACAATCTTTGCAAATCACTACACTACTAATAGCGGAGAAACTGTTAGAAAGTTAATGAGACAATAATGGCTATTGTCGGTAATATCGAATTTTTCTGCGGCTCTCTTCCGTAGTTTAGTTGCTGATACACTTGCGAATGATGTGTTACCTACTTTGGTATACTTATTACCACGGAATTTACGTTTTTTCCCTCGCGGATTATTATTGGGACTTGACCGGGATCCTTTTCTGTCCATTATTGTTTCGAGATTTATGCTACAAAAATCAACTACTCTGTTCGAGGGTTTGGAACAGACTGAAGTCTATTCTAAACCAAGTTATCCGGAAAATTCATTGCAAACAAATTTTAGGGTCACAGGTATGAAGACTATCGAATATCAACAATTTTCCAGAGGAGCTCCCCTCCCCTATTATATTCAATCTTGCATGTCCCCAACCGAGGGGGACCGCTGAAAGACTATTGTTATGCTACAACCATAGTGCACCTGCCTACCTGTACGCGCTCGGCTTTGGGGCTCTGTTACTCCGTCAATATTCGGAATTTCAGAAAAATTCTTTTTCTACATTATTTTCGAATAGTAATAGAATGATGAAATGTAAAAAAATCGATTTTTCAACCCAGGAAAAAGCGAAGACCCCCTCGATAATTCGCATTCGGCCGCCCGCCTTGATTCGTTGCACGTTTAGCGCAGCGTCGCTGGGATTAAACCGAGCGCGTTGTTGCCACCTTGGAGCTTACCGCTATGCGCGCATTTCAATTGTGATAGTGAATGTAGCAACACTGCCGCTCGGGTCGACAGGGACTCACTCGCCCCGGGCGACGCGGCGCCGCTTTTCTGTCCGTTCGACGTTTCTTTTCTCTTTTTAGCTAAACAAATTTAGCTTAACAAAAAAGATTGAACTAGGAACTCTAATTTTTTCAGAATTTTTAAGCGTCGAGAACCATGCTAAAATATGTGATCGTGAGTGTTCGTGAGTTAACCGTGCAGCAATTGACCTGTTCACCCTACCCAGTCTCACAATTTTTTCTGGGAGAAATGTGAACCTGAGGTTCGTGAAGAAAGGGGATACACAATTTGGACTTTCACTTTACTGATTACATTCTATCCTTTTAGTATATAAGTAATAAAGATGCAAAGGGCTGTTTGTAGATAAATAATATATTTTTCTTCAATTATCATAATTTAACGCTAAAGTGTCAAAATCGACTGCGAAAAATTCAAATTCTTACATTTTCCATCAATTTAGTATATTAATATTGCTTTTGTTTTAAGGTCATTGTTTTTTCATTAGTTTCTTTGAATTATTCATAGCTCTAAGTATTTGGTATTTAATTCATCTTCATCAAGCATTATTTTGGAGATATTATCACGGTGTATTTAGGCCTGCTCCTGTTGTTTTCATGAAAACCAAGCTAAAATGAAAATTATTCATTTTTTTCCCTCTTTTGTTCTTCATAAATTTGCAGCTGTGAAGACAATAAAAAAAATTATGTGTTAGATTTTGTAATTGAGTTTCGCATGATTTTGCTATAATTACAGTGCTCCTAACTGTCTTATCCACAATTTGTTTCTTGACCCAAAAGGAATCAGTAATTAAGTGGCAATGAATACGAATTACTCTTGAAAGAATCGTTGTAAAGTGAAATTTTCGAATGCCTTTTTTGTATACAATTTGATAGACTTTCAAAAACGGTCTTTTGACTGCTTTTTATCGAAACCTACTCATTCTAAAGGTATTACCAATTAATCGAGAAGTTTGTTTTGAACAACTAAATCAAGTTCAGCGCGGTAAGATCTTGTCAATGAAGTTCTGCTATAATATATTACCGTACTAATTGGAAAATATGAATATGACTACAAACCCTACCTTCGGCTTGCCCTATAGGTTTATACCTGACACGTGCGTTAAGCAGTCTCCGCAATTGGATTTCGAAGAACAAAGAAGCACTGTTAAAAATTTCTTGAAATTTCAGTCACAATGTCATCTGAATTTCCAATGTTGTGAGTTTGAATTCAATTTCAATCGAAAACGTTTACTAAATTTCTCATTCATCTCGAAAATTCAAGAAAATTAGGTTTTTCATATTAAAAAACCATTGATTTTTTAATGAAAGCTTGAATTTTCAAATTTATCGTGGAAATGAACATCAAACATAATTGAATTTTCAATAGATTGAAAATTCAGAGAAGTTATTGCCTGAATTATCAACATTATCAAGGTTTTTCAGTGCCGTATGAATCTTAAAATCGAGAATTACTTGAATATTCAAGAAATTAACTGATTTGTCAATGGAGAATTCTACAGAAATTTCATGTAACTTTATCGTTGTTAAAAATTTCAAGTTTTTTAACTTGAAATTTCAAGTGTAATTTTCTAACAGTGAACCTGTTAGCGTACCGAATTTCCACATAATAAGTATTCATGAGTAGAAGAAATTGAAAAAATGTAGAGTTTTACCGTTGTTTTTGCGTTTAATTAATAGGGAACTTCACTATTTTTCAACGATTTTTTTGCAAAATATTCTACTGAGTATCAACTTTTTGGAAAAAATCAATAGGGAGGTTTCCAATATTCATTTATTGATTTGAGAAAACTTAATTCTCATTTTTCTCAATTTTCAACAGTATGCTTATTGAAACAATTAAAATGCAGTCAACGATTGCAAAAGACTAACTTCAATTAATACAAAAATTTTCGTCATCTTACTTAAGATTTTAAGTGATAGTTCCTTCGTACACATTAATAATAATTGTTTAAGAAATTCAGTTTCTGGCACCTTTCCTAGTTTTTCAAAAGCCGCTAAGGAGAACTCTTGAACATATTTCGCTTAGATTCACTCCCTTTCAACATATTTACAAAAAAAATTAAATTAGCTAATTCCTATTTTCAACCTCTTTCTTACCGAAATAATGCGTTCAAATTGAACGAGAACTTGTTTTTGTCGTAATGAAAAGAACCAAATCATTCAAATAGAAATAAATATTTTATTGTATTGAAATAAACTCCGCTTCGAGTGATTTTTCCTCATCTGCTTAAAATAGATTTTAACATTATTTGACTTCATTTATCATTTCATAATTACAATCTTTAGGTTTTGTTGCAATCTCTATATACCTGACACCCTTAATAATATAGTAATGCTCCACTGGGGTATAATCTATATTCCCATTACACAATTTTAACAATAAGTTTTCCAACTCCTCATCAATAAATTCACATCCATTTTCCCTCAAACTTCTATCAACTCAAATTATCGCTCTTTATTCGTTATTTATCATTTATTTTAAGACCCTGAGAAATTCAATTCTACAACCGTAACGAATGTTCATACGATAAAAATTAATCAGTAGAAAGTCAAGAGGTGTAGAAAGTTGAGGAGCAAATTGATTGACAATTGAAGGGGTAAAACGTAACAAAATAGTATCATTGGTTGCTGAATCACCTTGCTAATTGGTGGATTTATGGGAAATTGTCCGAAGATTTTCTTCGTAATCAAAAAAATTGCTTATAAAAGATGTCGTCGCCGTAGAACCAAAGAAGCGCAAAAAATGTGTTTTTACGCCCCTTTGGCTCTGCGAACACAGTCTCTTCACTTTGTCTCGTAAAACCAATCCTCATTGAGAGTTTTGCACTAGCCGGCGGAATGTGTCTGTGTTGTGCCCGCGGTGTGTAGAACGCCTTGTGTGAATTCTTTTATCTGCAAGATTCACATTGAGGTTTTTTGACAAACGTATGAAAAGTGCAAAAATTTCAAACTTTTCTATTTGTAATATATTTCTCATACATTCATTTATTTATCGATTTGTGGCAAAGAATCCGGGAAATGAGTGAATCAGAAGAGGACTCAAGTGAACAACACTTGCTACGGCGTACGGGTTAATCCCCGTACATGTGTGCAGATCAAAATGGTCCTGTTTTCAGCCCCCAATGTATCAACGGCATGAACATGACTCATTTGAGAAGGATTACCAACAAAGACCAGTGGAAAAATGAAGTACTTTCTTTCATGTAGCAGTGTAAAGTGGACGGGTCCAAAAACATCGGCAATCGGGAGAAAGGTTTGCGGATTCCATCCTCATTTCTCAAAAAATTAATGTCTTCAGTCTCTCCACCATGTGGCTTTGTAGATACTGCACATCTGCTATGTTCACATGGAAAATTAAATGTGGGGAAGATAAACGAATGTAAATATATTTCTGAAGAAATAATTCATCACCTAGTGCCAGAAGTAACCTTTCATCCCAAGTTGAACATTACCAATTTATGCATCATGTGCACAAGAGGAACTAATACTTCGTCAATGACTGAAGCAGGGGACGAAGCAAGGCCTGAGCAAAATGTCCCACAGCCGATTGACGCTTAGTTCGATGGTTTCAGGGGAAACACAAATTACCCAGGCCCCTGATTTTGCAGAAGTTTCTGCGACTGATGCGACCATGCACAAGAGAAAACAATTTGTTAAGGATGTACACACCCTTTCGACCAAAATTCACATTTTTGTTCATTTTTCTGGTAAATTATTGATCGGACTGACGCGAAATAATATAGCGTTTTTGCGTTTTATCACTATTGACGGAGTGACGAAGTTTCATAGTAGTGCAATCATTTTCCTGCATTTGTTCTAAAGTTTTGTAAATTTCCGAAAAGTTTTAGAAAAAACGCAGGAAAATGATTCCACGATCATGAAATTTCGTGAGTCATGAGTCACGAGCAATGATAAAATGCAAAAACGGTATATTTTTTCACGTCAATCCCATCAACAATGTGCCAGAAAAATTCAAAAATCGTGAATTTTTACGAAAAGGCTGTAATACATCCTTAAGCTGGCTGATTACAGTTCTTCCGATTCCGAATGAGAAAATCCCATAGTTCAGTCAGTCGATTGTCAAAAAAATGCCACTAGAACGGAAACGACCATGCACAAAGGAATACAGTTTGTTGAGCTGGTTGCTGATTACGATTCTTCTGAGTCGGAATCAGAAGCTTGCAGTGATCAGTCACTCATTTGTCGAAAATAAGACTACGTCGAAAATTGTTTCAGGGACCGACTTCACAAAGAACGATATGAAGGAACATTCTAAACGTCACCGTATTGTCTCGAGTAGTTCTGATTCCGAGTCGGATTCTACAGAATCTAAAATTAAGCAACTTCCTTGAACCAACCCATCATTATTGCTCTCAAAAACGTCACAATCCTCACTGATTTCATAATTTTCAAGAATTTCATTTTTTCATCTTTCATTCAGGTTGTTGTTAACGATACATTTATTACAGAAACATGTGATTTTAAGGATGTTTATACATCTTGGGAACCGCGACTTTTTTCATATTGGAGGAAAGTTCTGTAATTTTTTCTTGACTGATGGGGGAAAATATAAAACCAACAGTTCTGATGATGAGAAAAAATACGTAGTAGCTTTGACAAAATGTAATAAACGAATTTTTTCTCGTTCAAATTCATAATTGACCCACTGCAAGACTTAAAATAAAAGTAGCAAAAGAGAGCAGTATGGAAAATTATACTGAATTCAATGGCCGAGAAAAAACCTGGGGTAATCAGGAAAATAATGCATATATTTGGAACTTGAAGCCCCATATAACCTCGCGCTTGCATTTGGTGCCTATTGTATTTTATTCCTAAATAATCAATTAGGATTGGTCGATTGAAACTAAAAGAGAAAATGCAGGAGATAAATCTGTCTATCTGTTAGAAAATGTTTTTTTGAGTGATTGCGCTTTCGAATAAACAGCCTTAAACACAAAAGTCGTTTAAGATGTTTTTCTCATTTTTCCCTAAAGCTACTTGATATGAAATATTTTATTATACGTTTTACCACTTCGCTACTGATTGAAATTTGAAGCACGGCTATAATAAGCAAGACTCACTCGGGGATTCATGTGCTGCAGTATTTCCTCATTTCCTCAAAGTCGAAGTGCGGATGTATCACAGTTCAATAGAGAGTTCCCCCCTATTTTTTTTCTTCTGAATAAACTGGGGAGACTAAAATCCTGGGAATTTTTTACAAATATTTACATCACCTCCAATTAGAGCAAACAGTGAAAGGAAAAAGAAAATGATGAAAGAAAAATTACTACGAAATTTTTTGAAAATTAGTCCTGAAGAATTCGCCGTAGCTCAACAGCCTTTATACATCTCTCTGATCAATTATTTCAGCAGAGACATAACTGCAGAAATTTCGTAAGTATATTTCGTAAATATTTCGATAGCTAGTGAATTGTATGAAAAGTATCGGAAGACTTTTGTGTATGACATCATATTTCCTACAAGAAAAGTTCCTTGATAAATTTTTTCAAATCTATTATTTTGAAATATATTCGATCTACAAATCGACGGTTTGTAATGAAAGAAAAATTATTTCGATTTTAAAAATACGAAAGTATTTCATAATTTCCGAATAGACTCCGGTATTGCAAAATTCCCATTAGAATTCATTCATCTCAATGTGCAATTTGAAAGTTTTACTCCATGGACACTGATTAATACTGCCTATATGTTATCAATTCCGGCATTTATAATTCCCAGGGGACACATGGAACTCAACAATCCTGTTATTTCATTTTGCTTCAAAATTTCCATCTCTCTGGCGTAAGACCAAATCTATCCAGATATTCCAAGCGTGGAAAGTTGAATATTTAGGAATAAATTCCATATGGCACTTATCTATCAAGATGATAGAGCAGAAGCCTTTGAATTTCAAACGTGAGAACAATGCATGTAAACTAATCGTTGTTAAAAATTGCAAGAGTAATTCCCACACAGTGCTTGTTGACCTCTTCACACTATTTCTTCTATCTTGCTGCCATGATTTTAGCCTCTCAGTATATCAGAGATTTACTATTTTTTGATCCAATCAATTGAACACTATTCAATCAGTGTTAATGAGTTAGGTGTTTTAAAATTTCGTTTGAGTTAGATGATTTTTTTCTAGCAAGTTGAGATGAGTAAGTTCCGACGGAAATTTTAAAATACCTGAATTTGTTGGAAATTATGAAATAATTAGCTCAATAATATTTACAATGTTATAAATCCATCTACCCCAGAAGTATACACGAAATAGTTTGATCAAAATATCTGCACTCATTCCCCATCCTCTACCCCTTCGCAACCTAGTTAATTAGCAATTTTATATAATTGGTTGATTGATTAATTAATGGTTCATTAAAACTTGTGGGGCTGATCTTGTGTGGATTTAACTCGCAAAATTATCGAAATGAATAATCATATTTGTTACAAGATGTTTCAACAGACAACAAAATTTTTCATACTCTTAAAAAAAAGAGAAAATTATTGCACAATTTTCACATTTTATTTCACAATAACAATTTAAAAATCTATAAATCCACTTCCAGAACTGACCACACACGATCCACTTGTTACCCATGTCTTACTTCGAGCAACAATAATAATCACATAATAAAGATCCCTGAATAAACTCTTCAATGTCCCACATGGCACAGTAACGAATAATCAATTTTTCTTCATCGTTTCTCCATTCCGTTCTATATCCAGCAATCCCGATCACCAGAATCCCGCTGGGAATATCACGTCTTTGACATCGACATACTTTAAAATCGACGCAGCACTTTTATGACGAAATGACCCATTACATACACTGGACTGCCTTAATTTTTTAACATTGATATTTTTTACTGACACCTCGTCTACAAAAATTGCAATCCTCACATTCTAATCTTATGATATAGATATTGAATTCTAGAAAACTGAAATGTACCAATTCAATTATACATTGTACAATCTGAAGTTCACATTACACATACAATTCAAATTTATAAATGTTCAATCTTTAGCGTACAATTCGACAGGTATAATTTCAGAGTATGGCATTGATAGATTTTGATTCACAAAATTCATAGATTTTGAATGTGAATTTGAAGACTTACATTCTAGAATGAAGATTACAACTTTTATGACCATCGTCTTAATGCAAAACATCAAATGTATCAAGAAATTAGGGAACATTGTAATGTGTAATAGATCATTCTGTCAAGAAATATCCTGTATCGGTGGTATAAGTATGCTCTCACATCCAATTAATTAATTTTGGAGTAGATCTCGAAAATAATTGGAGAGGAGATAAGTCCTAAAAATGTATACGGATTATTTTGCAAATATGTCGGCATTTGGTAGGTGTAGAGAAAAATGTCAGAAAGCTTTTTCTGCAGATCTTATAATTCCACATGAAAAATGTCTGTTGACATTTTTCCAGACACCTAACAGCGGTCAAAATACTTGCCGAAGCATTTCCTGCTACTCCTGCACTGATTCCAAAATAGAGCTCTAAAAGCGTATTGCATTCGGTCTTCTCTTATTTTTCTTAGTTTTATTAATAACTAAACATTACTTAGCGGTAACCATTTGGAGAATAATCCTCTGCCTGAATTTATCGCTCTGAGTTAATCTCTGGTATCACTTGTTCTCATTTTTCCTTCTTATTTTTTTGTACATTGCCCATAAAGCCCTGGTGCTTCAACTCTTCATTCACTTATGCAATTTTATTTAATCCATAATAACCATGGATCACTGTACCTGTAAATGGGGTACGACAGGACTTCAAGAAAATCCCCAAATAGTAAAATTTTCCTTCGGGAAAAATGATGATCCATCGAATTTGAATTAAATGTTTGATAGAAAAAAAATGCGCAAATGGCTAAATAATTTTTGTGTACGGTATCAAACATAAATGTATCAACATTTTATTCTAAATTCACTCCTGAAGATATTCATAAAAAATAAAAATAAAACAAAACAAAAAAAATAAAAAACGAAGAAAAAATGCTCTCTCAATTAAATAAATCCATTTCAAAATTTGATGCCAGAAAATCTTTCGGAATAGGTTTCCTTTGAACTTGGATATGTGCGAAATAATGCAATGGAAAATTTCGATTTTTCAAATCGATATTCGCTGGTCAAAGAAATGGATGTTTTCTTTTGTATCGAGATATCTTCAATTCCTAGAAAAGATGTCACTGCCCTTCACAATAATGAATGAAAGAGTGAAAGCATCAGTTCTTCATTTCCCCATTACATCTGACTCTCCCTGATCATCTCCCTCAGTAATTATTGAATTTTTCATTTATTGAAAAATAATTATTTCAGCACCATATCCCAACTCTCAGTTCAATCACACATAATCGATGATCTCGAGCACTTATGTATCGAGGCCAATCGAGCTGGGGTTGTCTCATCGATAGCTCGCAGCCTCCAACATCTCGACGAATAACTTATTCATGGGCACTTTACCGGTTCTGTAAACACTAGACCAGAATCTACGGACAATGCCATCTGCCTGGCGAAGACTTGGCATCACTAGGAACATGTTCTGGGTCGCACGCATCGTCTGGCCTGGTCTCACTGCTGCCACACAGTCAGATAAAGAGTTAAGAATGGAATCACGAAAACGATAGAGGGACTGTGGCTCGTCTAGTCGTATGTCACTATTTGTGAGTATTAAAGCCTTTAGGATGTAGAATTCTTCTCGGGAGAGGTTGAGTTTCTGGACTCTTTCTACTATTTGGATGCACTGAAAGGAATAAACAAGAAATACTGGTTAATACATGATTTTTTGATTGTGCGGAAAATAATTTACGGAATAGAATAAGTCGATTTTCCGTTTGAGGTATTCCATCTCAAATTAGTCAACCCCTGACCTTTACCCTCTCGAAAGTGAACCTGAGATTTAACGCGGTTGAGGGACTGAAAAAAATTATCTCCTGATGTTTTTCCTTATCCTGATCAGATAAAAAATAACAACTTCTTATTCCTAGTAATTTCTACCTGAATTTAGTGAAATTATACTTAAATGGATGCACGTTCTTTTCTTCTTCGAAATAGTTAGTTGTTCAATTTAGAATTCTTGGATTTTCAAATTGAGAACATTCTCGTTTTTGAATTAATATTCTTTCCAGTTAAAAAATTGAACTACTTATGTTTCAATTATGTTTAGTGAGCTGTTGCACCAATCCCAACTGGTTATATAAATCGATTTAACGCATATTTGTTTCAATGTAAATATTGTCGGTCAAATGGCCGTTAACTGGGAATTTATTTAATCGCACTTTGTTCAACCGATCCTTGGAATATTTCAAAAATTGTAATTATATGCATTACGTAAGGCCTTTGTTATTGAAAGTATATCATCTGACACCTCTACTCAATTAATATTGAACTGATGTTGGACTATTGGAGAAATTTATCCCTTTCGAATATTTGTAGTTTGAGAACTCAAAGATTCTTTATTCAAAAACTTTTATCACTTAATATAAGTGAGTTTTTTTTGTCCTGGATATTAAAGATTTCCTTCTGGAATTGAAGAATCAGTTCCTTATTCTCAGTACGATGCATATTAGAACCAGGAATTTTTCAAATTAGTAGCTTGGTTCTGAAATCTAGAAACTCTTTTTCGCGGTTTTTTGCTTCCCAATGGAAGCATTGTTTTTGGTCGATTTTTCGATTTTCTAATTTTGATTGCAAATGGTCTAGAATGTTATTAAGGTCATGTCTGTATGTATGTATGTGCAGATTTGAGTTTTTGGTGATTAATTTTTAGAGAGTTCAACATAAATACGGTGAAATTTGTAGATACAAATTTGAAATTTTGGCTCATGGTAGCTATGAGCGAGCTCTACTTTGGTGCGTTGTTTCACCCCGATCGGTCCAGTAGTTCCTGAGATATAACAACTTGTTTCTAATTTCGTTTTTCTTCAATATCTCAACAACTGCACCGATTTCAATTTTTTTTCAAAATACTTCTCTCGGCGGCCACTATCTAGATCAATCAAAATACGTATACCCGTGCATACAAAGTTTCTGAGATATTCCCGTTTTTCTTTTTTTTTCATTCTTGTGCGCACGATAACTTGAGACAAAAAGAATATATCAAGTAGAAATTTGGTATATCTCTCATAATATTCAAGGTCTGTATTTTGAATGGGCGTAATCGGCAAATTTTTTCTATATAAATCCGTTCTATCAAAAGTTTAAATATAAACATTTTTTTAAATAAAATGTTTTTATGCGTGGTAGAAAATTTTGATGGTTTCTCATTCGATTTTCTTCTCGTTTTTATGAAGAAAATGAATTGTTTGAAGAAACTCGAAAAATTGCCCAGGATGTTTAAAATCTTTGAAAAAATTTAGAAAAAGTTGTTATATGTCAGGAACTATTGGACCGATCGAGATAAAACAACACATCAAAGTCATACATACAGACATGAGCCCAAAGACATCATTTCTTCACGTTTCATAACATTCTTGATCATTTGCAATCAAAATTAGAAAAACGAAAATTCGTCCAAAAATAATCTGCTTTGTGCATCTGTTATAAGAAAATGAGATATTAGTTGAAAATCATAGAGATAATCAGCAATACCAGATTTAGAAAATTATTAATAGGCCCACTCATCAAACAATCTCGAATGCAGCAATCTAATCTCTAATTTTCAAGGTTAAAGTTCTTCAATATCAAATGTTAGTTAATAATTTCCACATAGAAATAGAAAGAAAATGTGGTTGCGTATGTATGCCTCTCTTAGGAACAGGGAAGTGGTACGGATCCATTCGGAAGCTTACTACCTATGGAATTAGTAGAAATAAAAGGAAGAAAAAGACTGATAAGACAAAAAGTAACGGTCGTATGCCTTCTGTCGAATAGGCTTGAACCCCTGCTTATTTTTCACTTACGTGAGTGAAGAGTTCAGTACAATGACACTCTCTCGCAACTCTCTCATCCAACGTGAAATCCTGGGCGAATCTGAGTCTCCCCGTGTTGGGAATACTCCTCCAAGCAAGACTAAACGTTAAAATTTCCGCCCATGTACTCTGGAGCAGTCGCATTTGATCGTTCAGCGCGAGGCCACTGAATCCTGGTATTTGTTTCGCCCATCCTGTAAAAGAGAACATCAATTCTTTATAAAATGAAAATTTTTTAGGTATTTCAAGTTTTTAAAGGTGACATTCTCAATCATTAATACAGGACATGAAGAGTTTTGTAGCTTATGTAATTTCCTACAATAAATGTCTTTGAACATTCCTTTGTAATATTATTGATCATAAAAACATTCGATATTTAAAATTTTATTGTGAATGTTAGAATAAGTCACTATTTGGGTGGTGGAGTGGAGACGACCAATTCTAACGGAAAATACCTTGTGTTGGAAATGGCTCATCTCGAAAGAGGGTTGAGTGGTATGTTAAGGGGAGACTACTATGAGTTTTAAAAGTCATGGACTATTGGGATGAGATTTCTCATATATTGAAGATCGATTATATATATAGATAAACGAATAATTACTGCAAAAATAGTATATTTCAGCACGTGTGGGGGAATTTCGTCTTTAACGTGTGTGGGGTTTACAGCATGAGCCGAAGGCGAGTGATGTAACCACACACGTTAAGGACGAAATTTCCCAACCAGTACTGAGCAAAATTTTATGTCACGAAGCCTGAAACCGGCTGAATTAGACACGAGACGCGAAGCGTCGAGTGTGTAATCCAGCCGGTTTCAGGCATGAGTGGCATAAAAAATTATTATTTATTGTTCATCTGCCCCGTAGATGCTTAAAATGTCAAAAATAGTCCAGGGCCTCCAATTTTTGAGTTACAAAGTTTTTTCTTTCAAAATTTTTAAAGAAATGTGTACAATAACGACTACGAATTAGTTTTTTTTAATTCCACTCCTACACAGCTAATTGCTTTTCTTTTTTAATAAAAAATTATAATATTCATGGAAAATAGCCCGAAAAATGTTTCTGAACGAATCGAGAATATATTTTAAATATTTTAAGGATAATTTTTCTGCATATTTTACATAAATGGTGCACATTTTTATATTAAACAAAACCAAATTAGCTTTATAGGAGTCGAATCTCAAAAAAACTAATTCGTAATTGTTATTGTACACATTTTTTCAAAAATTTTGAAAAAAAAACACCTCTGTAGCTCAAAAATTGGAGGCCCTGGACTATTATTAAAATTTTAAGCGTCTGCGGGGAAAACAAACCATAAACAATTAATTTTTTTGCACTAATTATACGTTGTTAGACATATATGATCGATCTTTAATGCATGAAAAATCTCACTCCAATAGCTCGTGACTTTCAAAATTAATATTAGTCTCCCCTTAAGTGTTACGTTCCGCTAAGGGGTAACAGAATGAAGTTAATTTTCCAAATTTTTGAACAAATTTCCTGCCGAAAGTGATCCATGTTTTTACAAACCGAAGCGCATCAACCTCCAGAAGGTAAATGATGAAGATCAATGTGCTTTCGGTTCGAAAAATCATAATTCTGGGCAGGAAATTTGTTTGAAAATTTCGAGGAAACGGTGGCCTTCTGTTAAATTTGGCGTTTTTCAATAATCATTTTTCAAATTTCTTTTTTCAATCATTTTACGAATTAAAAAGTAGAAAACTGTTTGAATTACTTTCCAATTCTCCAACTCTTCAACCGGTTAGAAATGAGACGTCAACTAGACTTCAGAATGTTCACTCCTTGATAGATTTTGTTATCCATCATAACTTTCATTGTACTCTCATTTCCACAATTAATTCTCACTTATGGTACCACAAGAACTTCAAAATTATTGGGTAATCGATGTGTCAGTTTTGACCAAAGGTTCACTTGACTGAAAGATGTCGTTTTTCATATAGCAACTTTGAGAGGAAATGATCAAAAACGTATCAGTTGAATACAATGTAGGTTGTACCATGTAACGTCGAATGGCGCAATTCTGTTGGCTGAAATTATCATTCGAAAAATAATGATTGATATTTAGAGGTTCCGTTTTAATCACTCTCACATATTCCAACATAGCAAAATCAATTTATTGATCAGCCTTTCATTTTAGTATTTGTGTGTGTTGCCTTCTTGTTCTGTTTTTAATTTATGAGGAATATCCAAGTTCAATAATTCTACATCAGAGTCATGTGTCTTCCATTTCTTTCTCGTGATATTTATATTTGATTGTTTGGCAGATCTGTCGATGGCGCCTAAAGGGATTTACGTAACTCGCAAAAATTCTCCAGAACTAAGTATTGCAATATTTAATTTTAAATTTAAGTATCTCAAGAATTTATACTTTCCATTGATTTCTTCTTCAAATTGCACTTGACAAAAATTTCGAAGAAAAGTACCCGAAATTTTGGTAGTTTCTTCGTAGATTTCGAAATTCCAGCCAAAAATTTTTAAAAGTGAATTTGGAAATTTAAATGAGTTACGAAATTGTTGTGAGACTACTAATTCATTCTATTTACTTGTTTCTCCTCCCCCCCCCCCAAATCAATTCATGGGTGATCACAAAATTACATAAAACAATCCTGATCTCCGGCAGATTGATAAGCTCGATTCTACAAAACCAACAATGATTTTTTGAAGCATAAAAAAATTACAACTTTTCGGAGCAGAGCATTGGGAACTTTAAATTGCAATTATCAATTGCTAACAAAAATAAACAAAGATTAATCAGAGCTATTGAGTTACTCATTTCTGACATTGCACTGAAATACTTAGATTCTGTCCGAGGGGCTACTACTCCATAATTGAGTGACACCATGATTTCGAAACGAATTCGATTTCGGGTGATTTCGGTCATTTTAGAAAAAATGATTTCGGTGATTTCGAGCGTCACGGAAGGTGAATGATTTCATTAATTCGAAATCAGTGATTTCAGAAAAATAAACTTAATAAGCAATAGAGGTGGGGCAAAACGGGTTATGTCAAATTATGAAAATCAAAATTGATAATAATAACTGGCAAATAGTAACGATTTCATTTGATTGAACTCCACCAATATTGAGCTAATGATGATGAAACCGGTCCATTTCACCATTTTACTATGTTAGTAAGTGTACGACCTTTTATTATCATCATTGGCAGGCGTGTCAATTTCAAAATCACGAATTACTTGCACGGTTCGCACTACACCAGTGCGTCACTGATTTCGGTGATTTCATTGATTTCAGACAATTTCACATGATTTCGGGGATGATTTCCAAAATGGTTTTGGAGAGCTGAAATCACTTGATTTCAGTGATTTCACGTAATTTCGGAGTGATTTCGAAATGTTTTCAAGCCAGAGTGGCGTTGTGATTTCGAGAGTAAATAGCCCCTCGATTCTCTCACTCTCTCCGAGATTATAATATTGAAATACTGGGTTTTGGAAATGTTTCTTGTGTTGCAGAGATTCTTTCTGGAGCCATCGCATGTGTTCGTAAAAAGTAAAAATGATGATTGTTCCATGGTCAAAATCAATTAGGAAAAGTGTCTTTTAATCCATTTTTCAACGGACATCACATTGAATTGGTATAATTCAATGAAATTGGTGGTATTCAATGAATTGGTGCTATTGGTAACAACATTTTACCACTTCACTAGGGGAGGGTGTGCCTGTACCGCCCACCTAAGGGGAAATTCCAGTTTTATATTTTATATTTCAACATGAGTATAAAAAACGTATTTGTGAGATTTCTTTAACTATTGAACTCGTTATTCTCGAAGTGTAGACGCCTAATTCTCCTTAGAATGTACAAAATTCATTGAAAATAAAAGACAGAGCCTATTGAGCAGTACTACCCGCCGTCGGGTAATACCGTTCGGCACGATTCCAATGCCGCTCATAGGGTTTTGCGTGTATCGCTCGCGCCGCAACCTAACCTGTTCTCGAGTGCTATCGAGCAACTACATGGCCGATCCTATGAGCGGTATTACCGCCTCCGCTCGGCGTCAACAAAATTGTTGATAATTATTGACATGAGTGGAGTTTTGAGTTCGAATTGGTCTCAAATTACGCGTGAAAGTACCACGAATCGAATACCCACAGTTTAATATGAGAATTCAGCGTTTGAAACTATCAAAAACCTTAATTACAAGTCCACAAATTTTGCACTGTAAAGACCTCAAAACTTCGTTACGTGTATTTTCATATTTAAAGTGGTAAATAAAGTGAAATTTTTCCGACAATCACATCCTATCATCAAATTCTTCATGATCAGGAACAGAAAGAAATTTTCAAGTTGATGGTTGTGGACAAAATCGGGTGAGCGGTATTACCCGCTGAGTGGTACAGGCACACCCTCTCCTACTGAATCAATTAATCAAAATCAAATTACCAATTATTCCAACGAGCTCACGATCATACAGATCCGATAACTGTCCCAATACCCGTTGATCCGTGTCTAATGTATGAGCAAGGTTGAATACTTGAAGAGTGTCAGGTTCACAGGCGATTAGCGCTTCAATCATTTTATTATCTGATGAAATAGAAAATTGATTAATGGAAAGTTCCTGGTAAAACAACAAGTACAGTTAATACATAAAAAATTGAAGAGAAGTTACATTTCTAAGAATGAAAGAGTAGAACATTATCGTAATAATGAGAGGAATGGGATGAATGAACCGGAATGTTGAAAACTGTTCGTAATAAAGTGGTGAAAAAAGATGAATAAGAATCTTCTTTCTGTGATAATTTTTCAGTGAATATTTTGGAACTAGTAGTAAACTTTAGAGATGTTCAATGATCTTCTCTTTATATCAAGAAAATTTCTACAAAGAAAATCTTTCAACATTTTATTATAGCTTACTAGTTTCAGAGGTATTAACAGAAGAATCCCTTTTTTCATTTCCCTACACAATTATATCTATGAGAATTAATCTAAAATGAATCGAACCAATGAAATTCAACATTTCAATAACAGAGAAACCAAAAATGGTACGAATCTCTTATGCATTTCTCTGTTATCCAAGTGTTGAATTAGTTCACTTATATCAACTGACGATAATCTCAACTTACTTGTAATCTCTCCAGCTCCCGACAATCCTACGTTGGCTTCAAAACATTCAATAAAACAAACAAATGAACGAAAAAATCAATAAAAATAAGCAAACAATTGTTTAATTCATAATGTTTCTCAGGATGAACATGCGGGGTCAGTGATTCGTAAATTTGTTAGGTGAAGTTCACAGTTATGTGAGGACATCCACGTCTGACAAATTTAGTAGTGATGTGGTAAAAATATAATACAACAGAAACCAAATTCAAGCAAGGTCTCACGACATTTTTTTATGAAGTCACCTTTACTCAGAGAAAAAGTTTCTGATTTCTAGTAAAAACGTCTAAATTCCAGAACACTTGGAATTCATATGGAAATCTATCGAGCAAAAAAATCAAATAAGTGAGATTTTCATTAATGTTAAGACAGTTTTCCCTACAAATAAAAAAAGTTTAAATTCTCAATCATTTTGAATTAAATCTAGTGCAGTTGTACTTCAATTGTGGCATATGTTTTCATATTTTGCTTGTCGAATCAAGAAAATTCGGGTTTTCATTTTGCGCACTTTTATCGATTTTCATAAAATTGAGTTTTTTCATATTCGAGAATTCTGTCATTTTTTGGACTGATAGGGGAACATATGAAACCAACATTTCGGATAATTAAGGAAAGTTGGTTGAACTAGCTTTGACGAAATGAAATAAACAATTTTTTTATTACACACGGGCTCTTATGAGATTTATTTTCAAATTGAAAACTTATTTACCGGAAAACTCAAAAAATTAAAATGAAAATAAAGGTCAATATAAACGGGATGGCCCAATGGCCATCGAAAAACCTGGGGTGCCCAGACAACCAATGCAGATATTTAAAATTTCAAGTCCCATAGAATCGCTTGCTAACCCTTGCAATCAGCGCATATTGCCAATTTTCTTTCTGAATAATCAATACGTATTGGTGGATTAGTTGAAAAACAAGTGGATAAAAAACAAAATCAAATTTGTTAGAACATTCTCATACTTGAATTATTGATTTCTTCTGTTTTAAAATTAATCTACTCATGTTTATAATCTCGTTGTTATTCAACGTATATTATATAACACCTTGTCTCAATTAATGTTGAATTAAGGGGATGCCGCACAGAAATTTCGTAATCACAGGTGCCTTTATCTATCATACTGATGAGATTACTAGGGGAGAGTGGGGAAAAATGAAACAGTCGAAAATACCACTGTACGATGCAATTCAAGCAAAAAAGAATTTTTTCTATCCACTTTTTTTTTATTAATTATTGTTTATTAACTTTTTTTATTATTGGGAGTACCGATTAGAATAATAATTTTTCATTCAGTAGAATGGAATAAAACATTATTCTTCTCATCAGTACTCCCCATAAGAAAAAAAGTTAATAAGCAAAAGTTGACGAAAAACATTTTTTTTGCTTGAACTGCGTGAAATAGTCGTTTTTCGGCTGTTTCCCCACCCTACTTCAGTTTTGATAAGAGAAAATGAGAAAAAATTAGAATTTGATTTTTTTAATGGATCAGAAAGAGGCTCTAGAAAAATAAAATCTTCAACTATCCTCATGACGCAATTCTCAACCGATTCCCTCAAATCTGTATGCACACATACATAATATGTACACAGATATAAAGAAATGAGATTTTTTTTTTAATTTCTATTTTTCGAGCTTTTGGAATATTTCTTTGGTTCTAGAAACTAGAAACTTTTTTTGCCTTTGTACAGCATCTAAATTCACTGATATTGATTGATAATAATCTTTTACCACCTCACTCACTTATTATCATTTACATAGTCATCCATAGTTTAGAATTAATTGATCAATGGATAATACCTTCTAGTGTAACTGTTTTTACAGGAAGATATGGGTCTGTGGCTCTTCTGTACTTCTGTCTTCCCCCTCTCACTCGATCCAGTCGAACACCTTCCTTCAACATTCCTTGTCTCAGACATTTCTGGAATCTACAAGCCTGACAGGCTTTTCTTCTCCTCTTATTTATCTCACACTCTCCATTCGCAGGACACGTATATTCAATGTTCCCTGTGAAATTACTTGCTACTTTATCATGACATTCTTGCTCATTTTGCAGATAGCACCAAATACGTAGAAAGCTCTTGATTTGTTTGATTGTTTTGTGATATGATGATTATGTGGGAAACGAAGAGTATTATTAATTTTTCTAAAGTCAATAATTTTTCGAGATATAAAAGAAATAATATTGAAGTTATTTTTGGACTTATCTGTTTTTACCTCTTCACTACCCATTTGTCATTGTTTAATGTGATTGATGCTATCTAGCAATGCATAATCATAATCAAATCTTACTTTCACTGATTATTAATTATCTCTTACCTTGTATCGTTCTTTTAAAAAATGCTTTGCAAGCCTCACAAGAGGCAACTCCATAATGAAAACCACTGGCCACATCTCCACAGACTAGACACACTCTTCTCGGGACTATGTCCTCTTCCTTAATAACTCCCTAAACAAATTGAAAGGATCGATAATTAATAATTAATTAATTATTCAGACATGTCTAAAGAAGATAATGAATAATAATTTCAGAAATTCACACATCGGTTATTTCGTGAATATCTCGGAAAGGCTTAGGTTTTACCGAAAAATGTGGTCCTACAAAAGAAAGCTCTTGAAATTTTTCTCTCAAACTATTCATTCAGAGAATATTCGCTGAATAATCCGGAAATTTATCTACAAATTTCAATTATATTATTTTTAAGATCTGATTGAGACATTTTTTTAAATATCTTGGAACCTAACAGGCTCATAACAAAAAGAGATGAGACTTTTTTGTACTCCTGGCAATTTCATATTATAGGGTGACAAATCTGTGAAAAGTAAATTCATTTTATTTCCCATAATTTTGTTTCCTGGACACAGGGCAAGGATAATGAACATAAGTATGGATGAAATGAGCTCTGTAAATTTATGTGCAATTAGTTTAATTGTTATCTTCAACAAGGGAGAATTATAATGCAACTTAAACCAATTGCAAATGAATTTGCTGCTCATTCTCTTCATATGTGTGTTTATCATTTTCTCCCTGCGTCAAGGAAAAAAATTACATGAATTTATTTTCAAGAACTTCCTATTTTTCAGCCAGCAAAAAAGTTTTTGCACATTTTTCGCGTAGAGGATAGTAGGGCAAAATGAAACAAAAAAAAAATTTTTATTAAGTATTTTTTCTATCAACTTTCTTTTATTCTTGGGAGTACTGATGAGAATAATAATTTTCCATTCAGTAGAATGAAAAATTATTGAGAAGTTTTGATGGGCGAAGATTTTGTCAATGGATTAATTGAAAAGAGAATGAAACAGCAAAATCAAAAGTGCCGAGGAAGGCCTAAGGGGAGACCCAGAGAGCGAAAAATGAAAATGTGATGCTGAATTTCAATCGACTAATCTATTGATAAAATCTTCGCCCATCAAAATTTCTCAATATTTTTTTTCAAGAGTAAAAAAAGTTGACGAAAAAGAAATTAATAAAAAAATTTTTTTTTGCTTGAATTGCGTTAAACAGTCGTTTTTTTTTTAATATTTCATTTTGCCTCACTCTCCTCTAGCTTACTAGATTAACGATAATCTGCAATTTTGTTGAAGAATGTTATTGAAATGATTTCCCTAATATTATTTGAGAAATCTTGCAAATTGACAAAACTTTTTGTAGGGTATTTTGAACTCAAATTTTGCAACAAATTAAGAACTAATCTTCTTTCATAATTACATAACTCAACTAATCCATTTTTTATAATTACCTCTGGAGTTCCTAATGGTTGTGTAGTAGATGAGCAGTGTTGCATTTCAGGACTTCCAGGACTCGCTCTTCCTCCACTGTAGTCTCCCATATCCATCTTAATTGTCACCTGAAATTCATGATTTTTCTTTCAAAAATACAAAGAAAAAATTTCAGAATAATTTTTTCATTATTTCCCGTCAAATTTACCTCCGAAATTGGTTGAATTGTGGTACTGGGTGAACAGACCTGGTGATAGCTCTGACTTGGAGTCGTCGGATTATCCACTTCCTGCTTGATGCCAGGTAAGACTCTATTACTCGTTATCATATTCTCTGATGCATTTCCAGACATCATACAGACCTGAAATGCAAATAAATTCGTGATTTTCATTAAGAGTTATCTCGTTTAAAGTCACTCAGAAGTCACACCATATTGTTACAACGTAATAATCATAATGAAAGGCTTCAAACAGACGTAATGCATTATCGTTTATTCATATACTTTTTAATTTCTACATTTTCACGAGACTTATGATGTAAAGTGAAGTGGAAGCAGTGAAATTGGAACAAAATTTCAAGGGATGTTTCATGTACAGAGCTTTTTTATTAATTGATTGATTAATTTATTTTCCTCCATCAATCATTTATTCCGATAACAAGGGATTCCAAAGACAATGTTTTTGGATTTTTTTATAAAGAATTTGAATTTCCACAAAAAACTCGGTATTTTTTTTAATCCACAAAATTTATAAATTCATTCAATTCCTCAAAGTTTCAACAGGATTGAAACAACAGATTAGTTTTAATGCCGACTGAGGGAATATATTCACTCTTGAATCAGACGAACGCGAAAAAATCCCCCACAAATCGTTCTCCTGCAAATACGTCTCGACGATTGCACTCAAAAAATGCTCCTCCTCCCTATTTTTAAAGAGAAAACATTTTTAGCACCGACTACCAAGAATTTCACCAGAATAACATGTCATTATTGGGCCTTTACTATTCTCCAAATAAATCCGAACAACGATGGACAGAATTTCACTGCAACGTTTTTTTCCAATTTATTTCAACTACACATAAGAAATAAAAATGCTAATCTGTAATTTGCCGATTGAAAACGAGAACTCGCATCGCGTTATCCTTGAACTTGAGGAAATTTACGAGACGTGATTCATATGAAATAACTCGAGGTCCTCAACTACGGGAGATAAATCTAAAAAAAAGGAAGAATTGATTGTTGAAGAAAAATTATTGTGGGATTTTTATTACAGAATGATGGAGTTCTGAAAATTGAGGAAGAAAGAAATATTTTTATTAATATTATTGAAACTAGTGGAAACTGAAGAAAAGTGTAAAAAGATCCCTTGTGTAGCGGGGGAAATTCTATACTCATAAAGTATTTCGACATTTTTCTTCGAACATTTCTCATTAAAAATATTAAAACTGCTGATAATTTTGCAGAATCCATTGCTTCCACGAAATAACTAAAAGAGTCGTATTGAAGGAGATGAGTTACAATATTTCATCCATATTATTTTGATGATATTTACTAAACTACTAGATGAGCAAACAAATATCAAGATTATTTTTGTAACCCATAAGTTAAGTTCCCGACATAAAAGTGTCTCTAGAGTTTCCCCTGAATCCTTTTCTTCTCGAGATCTCTTTGGAATAATGTCCAATCAATCCCCTCCACACTCCTGTTTCCTCTCTTAATGATCCTCTCTCATCTACCCGGGTTCAATTAGCAAACAAGTAATAGATGAAAAAGATTGATTGAAAAATGTAGCCTGTAGCAAAATATTTACCGATAGAAACTCTCCGGTATTTTCCTCAACCCACGAATAAACTCCGGATAGGAGTGAAAGTAACGGGAGTGGAAAGGGTTGCGTAAGTGAAGCTGTCTCTCGATTTTGTTTTTGCGTCGGAAACCTCGTGCGTTTTTTAGAAGGGAGGGAAAATAAAAGTAGATAAAAGCAATCGTCGAGACGTAAGGTGGGGAGAGAAGGAGGGCATTGGAGGGAGGAGTAACGTGTGGTTAGCCTTGAACTTGGCTTTTCTAAGAGTGAGCCGGTACGATCGCGAAGGCCGAACATGACGCGCCATCGCAATTTTAGACGCGAATCCCGAGTGGGGACGGAGTCAGCCGATGTAAGTGGCCTTGAAATCTACGCTTTCCAACTCATGTCAGCAGATCCTCGTAGTTATACGGAGAGAAAAAATTGAGGGAATTTGCATTAACGAATGATTTTGTTGCTTCCAAATGGAAGCACTGTAATCGGAGTTTTTTCCGGTATCCTAATTTTGGGGGGATAAGCCTAAAAATGTTATGGAATATGAAGAAATGATGTTTTTAAGAAATGTATGTATTTATCTGTATGTGTATGCTCAGAAGTGTGTCAATAACTCCAGAATAGTTATCGCAAAGACGCTGAAATTTCGACTTCTAAGTTAGCTCAATCGGTTGAGTGATTTCTGAGATACACGGAGAGAATATTAAATTGAAAATTACTATGTGAACATAGTAATCGAGGATAATACCAAAAAAACTTTGAAATTTAATTTATTTTATCCCTACGTTTACAATGTTTACAATTTATTTTTTACGATTTAACATGGTAATTTTTAAGGGACGAAACAGGATAAAATGCACAGACGAAAAAATAATGCGCAAAGGTTGAAAACGCGCAATTTTTCACCAATTTTTACTATTGAACGACGAGAGCGTCGATTGTTTTCAATTCTTGAAATCTCCCTCGGTCGACTACGCGATGGTTCAGGTGACGGATTCTATAATTCTAAAAAATTCAATTCTTCCTGTCCCCCCTCCTCTTTTTTAGAATGAATATACGTGGAGCAAAATTGTTGATAATAATTTTCAAGGATGATAAAAAAGGTTAAATATGGTTTTTCATTTCGGATAATCACAAAATGCCCCTCTCCCTCTTCCTCTTTCACGAATATTCATTTGGGGGAGGGGGGATTTTTGTAAACCGGCAAAGTAAAAATTCATGTTTATCCTCCTGAATTTTACTCGTATCAATTGAAAATTTAACTTTTATGCTACCGTTTTCTACTATATCAACTCTCAATTTTTATTTTTTCAACGGACTACATCATATTTTAAATTTATCAGCCGTATTTTTTCATCCAGCACGTTGTAGTTTTTCATTTATTCTCAAAATTACTTGGTTAAATTGTAAATTTTCGAGTGTGGCGGGTAGGGTCCTGCATTGTATTTCTCATTTAAGAATTACTATGTTCCCACAGTAATAAATAATTTTATATGCTTTCCGTGTATAGCTATTCTTCACAAATAGTTTTTTGCAAATATCTCCAGGTCCCTACAATCGATTCGATTTTTTTTTCAAAATCCTCGTTATGAAGATACCTATTTAGTTGAATAGAAAAAAGGCCATCCACCCCGAACAATGTGTTTAATTCTCATTTTCCATTTTTTCGCTGAACTTGTTTGTACGCATAATAACTTGAGAAATAATCGAAATGGAAACTATGTAGGATTTTAGGACTTACCAAAGAAATTTAATATTTTGAATGAGTGAATTCAGAACAGTAGTTTCGGAGATATTCGAATTTGCATGTGAAACGTTTTGCTCAACATCTCAAAAACTACCGGGCTAATTTTGATTTTTCTTTTGTCCAAAATTTTGGTATTGATGCCCTCAACCTAATCAAATTAAAATGTGAATATCCTTCCATTAAAAAATTTTGAGGTGTTGCCGTAGTTCAATTTCTTAGTCAAAATTCACTTTTTCCAAAATCCATGAATGGCCAAAAGTCAGGGACAACTTTAAGAAACTTTGGCTGATAGGTCTATTGAGTTACACTTCTATATTATATTCACGGTGAATTTATTCAATAGATTCTGGAATGGAACCATTTACCCAAAATTCTTTAAAGGAAGAATTGACGCATCGTTATTTCACCATTCCTATTCTCACGAGGATGACTCGAAAGGTTACATAACATTAATATATATGTATATTAGGCAGGCCTACGGGAGCAGGAGAATGAATTTTAGGGTGCGGATTCCTGAAAAAGACGGCTAAAAAGATCACCAGTCCATGCGAATTTTTTCGCATTTTTCAAATCAATTTTCATGTATGCGCAATGAGTTCAAAGTTTGACGAGAAAAGTTGACCTACTGGCAATTAAGGGAGTATTCGCCTTAAACGGTTCAAAAAATCGATTTTTTTTCGTACATTTTATTTTTCCCTATTCTCATAAAAATCTATTACAAAAAGAATTTTCGTGAAATTCACAAAAATACCCGAGATACGAGGGGTTTGAAGCCGAGCGCGCACAAGTAGGCAAGTGTTCCAGCGTTGCANCCCCAAAATTTGTCTGAGGTGGATTTTCTTGACTAAGGCGTTAGTCTATTTTGAACTCTCAGGCGAAGTGTTGACTGTTAGTGAAATATGGATAGAAAAGGATCCCGCACGGAGAGAAATATTCAATAAAAATTATGTATCTTTTCCGTAATTCCGGAGCGAAATGTGGTTGTAGGAAATTTTACGGAACTGTCACGGAATTTTTCCAGAGCCTTCCGTAATTTTTATCTGAATCTCCTGTGAAAAATTACGATACCGTCACTAAAATTTTCTGAGTCGATTCCGTAATCGGTGAGCGAAATGTGAGTTCCCTAATTTTTACTGAACATTTCTCTCCGTGCGTACGAGTCGTGTCAATCCATCGAGACGGAAAAAACGATACTGATCATGGAAAAAAAACGTGCTTCAAGCTCAAGTACAAGTTCACCAGAGAGTCCCGAGTGGAAATTGTTTCAGGCCCACCTGAAGCATGATCAAAACTTGATCAGGTTTCTGTAAGGTTCGACTGATCCGGTGATTCCTGATGAGAACCTGACCAAGTTTTGATCCAGCAGATCGGATCCGAAAAACTACAGGCGGGTTCAGATCAAGTTCTGTTCAGGTAGAAATGATCAGATGATGCTTGATGAGAACCAGACCAAGTTCTGATCCAGCAGATCGGATCCGTAAAACTACAGACGGGTTCAGATCAAGTTCTGATCAGGTAGACATGATCAGATGATGCCTGATGAGAACCTGACCAAGTTTTGATCCAGTAGATCAGATCCGAAAAACGGCAGGATGATTCAGATCAAGTTCTGATCAGGTAGGCACGATCTCACACTGAGGTCGGCTGCCTGACCCCAATTTGATCAAATTCGGATTCGATGTCCTTGATTGGCATTTGAAAGAGGTCAATTGATGAGAAAATAATCAGATTCAGATCCGCTCCACCTGACATTAATTTTAATAAGTTTTTCGGACAATTTAATTAACTATTATTATACTATTCAAATTAAGTTTTATCGAC